TCTGACATCAAACGAAGGAAAACTAGCACCTAGACATTAATCCGTTTACAATCAGATGAACTATTGACGGACCCCTGCATGAAATCAAATTATCGGGACTACCTCAACGATTTTCACTCCCACCTCAATGTTTCAATCCCATACAGTTTACAGTCAATCCTATCAGATCTTTATTTGTGTGTAATAAACCAATTACACTAACGTCTCCATCAATGTGTAAACGCACCACGATTACGGAGTTAAGGAAACAAAGTTAGTGGCAGCAAATAATGATACATTTCTTTTTGATTTTGTTTTTTATAGTAATGAGAAACAATTGCAACATTTCACTTTCATTGTGGTGAAACTTGTTTTTACAAAACAAATGTGTATGTGCAAAAGTAATCTGTTTGTCTAAAACTTTGGTGAAAAACGTCAACGATTCCATTCCACAGAAGACAGTAAGTAATGACATCGCTTACAGTTTTGTTCCAAAAGCGGTTGATTTTCATTCACTCTCTCATCTTCAGACATTGTGTGATCAAACCAAACGGCACGCTGGGAACTGTTTGGGTTTTACGGGTTCACCAATCTGCTCAACGCCATTCAATGGGACCAAGTGAATTACCGAGAGTATGCTGTCACTTCGACGGTTATAGATAAAGCACTTTCTGTGCCGAAGTATTCAGCGCACACACGGACTGATGGATTCAGTATCGCATTGGTATAACCAACCGGTTGAGGTCAACTGATCGATGAATGCCCAAACCGAATTAGACATAATTGCTCACTTGTTGAAACTGTTTGACCGGTAGTGAACAAACTATTCGCGGTGAAGTACACGACTTCCGCACATTAAACATTCTACTTGTGTCACAGGTTGACCTGCTATTGCTGTCTGACGCGTGTACTCCTGTCAAGTTGGATCACAAATATGGAGCATCGTACAATGGAGGGATTGTTTAATCATGATTGGTGTTTTATCATAATGAAAATGGTTGTAAGAATTAAGTAAACAGCACCGGCAGCAACACTGATACGAATACCTTAATTGCCCTGTGTCTTAGCATGGAAAAAAGCAGCTATCTGCTCTTACTCAAAAACGTATTGGAGTTTTGGTTTGTAATACGTGGTAGTAAAGCAGATCCGCCAGGTATAAAGACTAAACTTCAATTAGAACGAGCTCTGTTCAAAGCATTTACTCCGCTTATTACTTTTGGTGTACTAATAATAATTAATACCAGTTACTGCATTGAGAATGCCACCTCGATTGGTGATGAAACGTTTCCAATACAATCGCCAACCTCGGCGAACAATTGAACATCAAAATAATAATTAATACTAATGAAGTGTGGAATTACTATCTATCTGAGATAAACTCTACTTATAATATGCCAAATATTGCTTTGATTTATTTTCCCATTCAAACATTGCAGTTTCTTGTTGGGATACAGAATTCAATTGAATATTTTTTATTGGAATGGCAGCAATACGAATACGCCAGTTTGTTTACAATAATCAAGCTCATGTTAGCATATATATATTTTATTATATATTATTTATATATTGATATATATTTATTATATATTTTACAACTCAGTGTACTCCTCCATTCTCTCTTGAAATATATATTGGAAAGAGGGTCTCACTGATATATATCCTTGTGACTTGTAACTTGTAATTTGTAAACTTGAATAGTGTTCGATATCTAGGGTAAGTTTAGACTATGTGCCAAATAAATCCCTTACGGCAATCTTCGTAGTGCATAAATCATAGCTTTATTTGCTTATGGGCGAAACACTATCAAATTTTCAAGTCCCGAAGCAAGTAAGTTGTATTGAGTATTCAAAGGCGGATCCTCTTTGTCCATCAAATTCTTTCCCTTGATTTTGCCGGGCAAAGTGAAAACAATTTATCAGGAGTCAAAATTCAATCCATTGAGTCATAGACATTTTGACGGGTTTATACGCCCAAGGTGGTCAATACACTTCGATGCCCAAACTAGTCGGTAGCCACTGCCACAAATAAGATACGTAGATGTGGTTCGTACACCTCTTGTTGGTTAGTTTTGAATTAGGATTTTTATCCTCACTCCTAGGTGAACTACCTGTGGTTTAGCGGATCGGATGGAAGCTGAACAGTTTATTTATAAAGCTAATGTTTGTTTAGATAATGAAAACAAGATAATCCAAATATCCATAACTGAGTGCCACTGTTGCAGTTCAACAGGTTAAAACGGAGAATATGTGAGTGAAGAATAATAAAATGATTGATTTTGAATTCAAATTGAATTTTCAGTCGGCAACGCTCACCTAATTAGAATTGGATAAGGCCATTCTTACCACTAGCGAAACCAGATGTTGATGGAAAAGAGCTAGATGGATCACTGATGGCTGATGGGTAAAATAACCTGTGACAAACATGAGTTGTTTTGGTTATAAAAGAAAGCTGCTTCGTTAAAACCTGTCACATTCGTCCACCACCTTACTCACACATCATTTTTTGCACATACTGCAACAGAAAATTTACACTGCTCACAGCTTTTTCAGGAATCTTTTTGGGAAAATCTTGACCATTGTGGCTACATTTTAAAATATATTTTCTTGTTTCGATAGAAAGAGCTGACGCACGAAGTTCAATCCAGTTGTGAGAAATACTCAGAAGTCGTAATACGCTACTCGAAATCCCAAGTGGCATCCAAGTGGAATTTCATACCTGCCAACTTCACAACGAAGCATTCCCAAACTCACCGCTGATCAGTGAGTTGTTCCGTTCCAAACTGCCTGATCAATTTTAGGGCTATTCATAACTATGGTAT